GGGCAGGGCCAGGACACTTCTCTGCTTTCTCTCACACAGACCCTGATTGGACTGGGGATGGGGGGTGTGCAAAGTCTTTGCCCTCCCCCCCCCCAGAGAGAACCACCAGCCATTGGTGGTTCCCTCTAGGTACCCATGCCCCTGGTAGTGGGAGAAGACTGTGTGCTCACTGCCCTTGCTCTTCCCCACTCAGTACAGCCTTGGCTCAGATATTTGCATTTGCCCTGAGAACCAGGACTTGACTGTGCAAAACCCCAGGGGTTTGCTCATCACAGTAGCGCAGATTCTGATCTCAGTTACAAGGATGTAAATCTGGAGTAACTCACCTGACTGAATTAATCTGGATTTACACGGTTGTAACTGAGATTGTCATCTGACCCACTAAGTTGAGCGGGATCCTTGGGTTTTGTAGGGGACCATAATAGTCAAGTGTTCTGGATTTATATCACTATAAAGAAGATTAGAATATGATCCATCAGCTGCATCTTTCCTCCTCATGAGACTTGAAGTTTGGTATGGTAACATGTTAGCTTGTTGCCTGGGAAAACAAACTGCATGTCTAAACGCTGCATCTACCCAAAATGGACCCTTGACAATAGCACTAACAAATTTTCATACCCTCCGACCCCTAATTCTACCTTCCCGGATATAATCCTGTTGATACAATATAACTTAATTGAGAACCCAGAATCACTCTGATCGTGCTGTTGATCTCTAAACTAAGACAGAAACAGGAAACACTAAGATGTATAAACTAGTCAAACAACTAACCCCTCCTGCCAGAAGACTAGTGAATGACTTTCTGATTATTTAAATAGTCCTAGCTCCAGTTCTACCCTGAAAGAGTCCAATGGTCAACTGGGGAAAAGGAACATGAAAAAATCCCACATATGCTGATTTGTACCTGAGTGATCTCACTGCTTCTTCATTACTACAATAGGAGGGGAGTAAAGGAGAGGCAGAAGTTTAGGGGAAGGCTTGGGGAGCTGAAAAGTAACCCCCAGCACTGTTTAGCTTCAGGCAACACTTCACGTTTGTCAGCACCGATGGTCCACCCAAAAAGCTCCCGAGCCAACTCAAACGCATCACTGCATCAATTCAGGATGGACGTTTTCAGTACATGACTCATGATTAGACCCTGGATGCAAGGTCAAGGTCAAAGTCCTTTGGCTTACTCCCTCAAGTGCAGCCTAACACAGGAAAGCGGGATAAATCATGTGCACTATTCAACTGTACAGAAAGTGGTGTATGTAACAATACAATCTGTATAGTAACTGCCTACATCTTCTAAAGGAGTGCAATAATTTAGTCCTTACTAAAGATAGTCTGCAATATATTTTAAGACATTGTAGTTATAGAATCATAGAATACTAAAACTGGAAGGGACCTCAACAGGTCCTCCAGGCTAGTTCCCTGCCCTCATGGCAGGTCCAATCACCAACTAGATCATCCCTGACAGATGTCTGTCTAATCTGCTCTTAAAATCTCTAATGATGGAGATTCCTCAACCTCCCGAGGCAATTTATTCCAGTACTTAACCACCCTGACAGGAAGTTTTTCCTGATGTCCAATCTAAGCCTCTCTTGCTGCAATTTAAGCCTATTGCTTCTTGTCCTATCCTCTGAGCTTAAGAAGAACATTTTTTTTCCTCCCTTCTCCTTGTAACAATCTTTTCATGTTCTTGAAAATGGCTATGTCTCCTCTCGGTCTTCTCTTTTCTCAACTAAACAAACCCAGTTCTTTAAGTCTTCCCTCATAGGTCATGTTTTCTAGACCTTTATTCATTTTTGTTGCTCTTCTCTGGACCCTCTTCAATTTCTCCACATCTTTCCTGAAATGTGGTGTCCAGAACTGGATACAATAACTGAGGCCTAATCAGTGCAGAGTAGAACAGAAAATTATTTCTTGTGTCTCGCTCACAACACTCCTGCTAATGCATCCCAGAAAGTTTGCTCATCCGTCTTTGATTGTTCATTAATGTCTTGGTTCCTAAAAAGAATGAATTTCTGTACCACTGGAATAACTAGGGCGTTAGAATAATTTTTTTTAAAAATCTATTCTTAGTGAAGTGCTGGGAAAATGAGCAAACGTGATCCTTTCCTTTAAGCAGAGCAATAAACATACAAAAAAGACATGTTAATATTAAATGATAAAGACCTTAGGCCCATTTTCAGTCAATACAGAGCTTCAAGTGATGGTGACTAAGTGAGATTCATGTTTATCTGCATGCTACCTGGGTGAGTAACACAACCTATGTGAATAAATTAATTTCTATGTGGATAAATGGTGTGAATGGGAGATGGTTTGAGTGAGTTTCTATGCCTAACATCTTTGTATCATATAGGGTACGTCTTCACAGTAGGGATGTAAGCGACTAATTGACTAGTTGCTCCCCCCCTTGCTGCCTCTAAGTTGGCACGGGTTCCACGTGGAGAGCCAACTTTGAAATGTTCAAAAGTCCCCAGTGGGAGCTCTTGTACATTTCAAAGCAGAAGTACCTGTGTAGAGCCCGGGGTCAGTGGGACTCCCCGCTGGCCCTGGGCACCACACAGTGTTTCAATCTTTGAAATTCACAAGAGCCCCTGTTTCAAAGGTGGAACGCGGAAGTCCTTATTGACTATTCGATCAGTTAATTAATCGAAATTTAACATCCCTACTACACAGCAGTGTTATTTTGGAATGAAGACGGGTCTATGATGGTTTTAGTGGTTCTGGATCCCTGAATCCATGTAACTGGTGAATTCGCAACTATTTCATATTCCCCGCTATAAAAAGAACCCTAGTCAATTCCTACTCTGAAATGTTTTTAAGATTCTTTTAAAAAAATGTTATTGCATCTGTGAATACATGGGGACAGTTTATTTTGGCCAGTGCTCCTGTGTTCTGTGTGCCAACTTGAGAATAAAACAATGTTCAATACACTAAACATTCTGTGATATAAATTCTTGTCTCCACATAACTATAGACTTATTGCATATGGCAGGTTCTTGATGCATTCCCTAGCATTAACAACACTGAAGTTCACATATAATTGTCACGTGCAGAGATCTATTTACAATATTTTTATTACCGATTGTCATCTAAAAATGCTATGGCAGGTAAGCCCATTTCCTGTGATTGGCCTCTGCTTCACTGGAGTCTGATCAATAACAACAAGAATTAAACTTGCATTTTTGGAAAACAAAATTAAACTACTGTATCCCAGTGGTTTCTGCACATACCATGCATTCCTGAACACAAAGTCGGCTTTGTGTTTAAAGAATGGTACGGTTACAAAGATAAGATAAAACAGGACTGGAATATAATATTCCTGGGAAATTTCAGCCCCCCATGCAACCATGAAATTAGCGATGTGAAGAGATTTTATGAACAGCTTGGCCAATTGCTGAGGTCCTGACTCAGACAAAACTGCCTTTGTGGCCAAAGTATTGAGTGAAAACTCAGGCACCAATTCTGCTTTGACTTACATCGGGGTACGTCAGGATTAAATCTTCTGACAACGCTCAAGGGGCTCAAACTTCACGATGGTGTAAGTAAGGCTAGAATGTGGCTCTGAGGATAGAGTATGGCTCTGAGGATGAGAATTCTGGCTCTATTTTTAAATCAATGACTAATTTTCACTTCAGAGGGTCAGGGCGAATCAGGGATCAGATTGTGCAGCATATTTCTTACAATGGCGATCAGGCGATTGAGATGCCTGTGGCTAAGGGAGGTACAGCTGGACATCTTTGGAGCCATCATTGTCATGATAAAAGTGTCAGATTCTGTTTGGTGTCAGCGAGACTACTTGTATGTAGGGTAACCAGACACTTTCACAAAAAATCCCGAACATGGCGGGGGGAAAAATTGGTTGAGCAAAAACTTGTTGAGCAAAAAAAAAAAAAAAAAAATCCTTTAAATTCCCACACTCTCTTGCCATCCCAGCTTTACACGATCTGTTTAACATCAGTTCTCTCAAGCTTTTGGTTGTGTCAGCCAGGAGCACATTAACTAGGTCAACCTGCCTTTTTTTAGGTAGCACTTTGTTTCATTTCCCCTCTCAGGCTCTCTGTCCATCCAAAGTCCAGAGCCAGCCTGATCCTCTTGTGTGCGAAAGGTAGGGCAGCCTCAAGTCTGCACTATTGTGTGTGGGGCTCCATACAGGCCTGCCTGGCCCTGAAGACAGTCAGCCCAGTACAGGAGAGAATCCCAGGCCAATGAATTCCCCCTCCAAATAGCTCTGAGTAGATTCTGCCATTCATGTTGCCCTCTGGTGCCTTGAGATTTCACCTTCTCCTGGCAATGAGAGAAAGCTGAAGAGAACAGATTACAGGGCTTCATACTGTGCCCTGTCCCCACTGATTCCCCTAAAGGGGTGGAGAGCTCCGAGATCGAACTGTGAGCCAGCCTGGGGTACCTGCAGACTGCTCAGCTTCTTCGTGCTCTTCTCAGCCCCATACATAAGGGACCTTGAGAGAGGTCTGTCACCCAACACAACACCATGGTGGAGACTGTGTGAGCGTGGCACACAGCCCGGAGCATAGACAACCTGTGAGGGTTGGGGGTCATACAGCAGTCATAGCACCTCAGCATGGGTCACACTATCCTCCATTCAGGATCCCATTACTCCCCAGCTGCCCCATTTCTAATGCCACCTGCAACTGTTAGCCCTGGAAGATATATCCCTGCACTCTTCCAAATCCAAGTTCTGCTGCTTCTTTTGCCATTTGCTCAGCTGAGACAACAGAAACCGACATTCTCTGTCTGGTGCAAAGCTGCAACGTTTGCATTGTCAATGCTGCGACAGGGTGTTTAAATCCCCAAAATCACTTTTGTGGAAATTAAATAAAAAAACCATGAAAATAATTCGATTTCCTATTCAAGAGTATAATTAAAAACTGATGACTTCTAAATGTGGGACACAAACATCCTATATATACCAGCACTGCATGCTGAATACAGGCTGAAGGGTTGTTTAAAAGCCAATTAGAGAGCAAACATTGCTCAGAGTTCACCATTACCTTAGACCAGTCCCCTGTTTTCCACTCATAACAGCCTGTGTGGTCCTCACACTCTTCCTCCTCTTTCGGCCTGGTGGCTGCATCACATTTCCCTTGAGAGTTTGTGCAGGTTACTGTTCTCTTGTGGGTTCCCCTACCGCAATCTGCTGAGCACTGAAAAACAAAAGGCGTTATCCTCAATTGCTGCACAAGGGCACCTAACAGGAAAAGCTCTGGCCAGGATCCCATTAACAATACAGGCGATTACCCCTCTCAGCTGATTGTTATCATGGCTGCAGAAGCAGAGTGGAGGAAAAAAAAGTTTCATTCAAACATTTTAACATTCAAAGCTGTTTTGTGATTTTGAAGGGTTCATTTTTTCCAGTTCTTTTTAGCTGTTTTAATAATTCCCCCGTACCAAATTTTTACATTACCTAAAGCATCATCAATATTTCACATTTACCAAAACCATGGAAACAAAAACAATATTTAGGACACCTTTGATTTTTTTCCAGTCAATGTTTAAAAAAAAAGCAAGACAGCTGACAATTTTGTGGAAAAACATTTCAGAAAAACAGCGATTTTGCAACCTAAACCCCCCCCCCCTTTATTTGAAAAATGTCAACAAGTTCCAAACAGAAGTCAGTGTTGTAGTTTTTAACCCCTTTATTTAAGAGATTATCATCAACTCTGGAAAAGTACCAACACACCAGAGTACACAAGGGGGAAGCTTCTACATTCTTTGATGGTGCATGACTATGCAATGAAGCCTTCTAAAATCACAGTGGCACCAACTCAGCCTCTTGGCGAAACAGTGGGATTTGCGAAGTGGTATGGTATACCAGCTCATGAAACCCTGCCCCAAGGTGCTTCTGTGATGCAGCTAATGCATACGCTCACGCTGTCTCTTTGATTCTGTTCAGTGTGCTCTCTCATAATGACGTTGAGAGCAAATGACAAATACATGCAGCGCGTTTCTATTTGTTTCATAATGCTACCCACCATAGGTTATGACCATCAGGGCCGGCCTGAGCCATTTTGGCGCCCCGGGCCTGGACGGGCGGCGCATGCTCTGCCCGGTCTGGCCATGGCCGCTGGCGCGCAGCCCAGGGTGCACGGTGCATGCGCTGCCCAGCCCAGCCCCCGCTGCTGGCGTGCAGCCTGGGGTGGGCTGCGCCTGGCCGTGCAGGGCCCCGTGGCCGTGGGGGGGAAAGGCGCTGCTGGCTGGCGCCATGGGAATGGGGGGGCTGGTGCTGCAGGAGCTGGGCGCACAGCATCTGATGGCAGCTATAAGGCATGCTGCACGCCCCTTACAGCTGCCATCAGGCGCCCCCCATAGGTAGGCGCCCTGAGCAGCTGCCCCGCTCGCCCACCCCTTAGTCTGGCCCTGATGACCATGCATGTTAGTCACACAGTACACATAATCCGAAACGGGTAGTATGCCGGTATATTTCCATTCACCCACCTCAACCTCACGGTTTGCGATCAGTTCAAAATGACATCCAGCAAACATGGCTATTCTCTCTCCCTCTCCCCCATCCCCACACCTGAGTCATAAGCAGGGCTCAAAGACAGGCTTTTCAACACCAAAACCACAGGCCTCTCCCACTCGAGAGAAGGGGTAGATTCTTTAGCTGTGAGAGAGCAGATGACTATTGTACAAGTTGGACCTCCCTTAACTGGGACTCCTGGTCCAGCAACATCTGTGGTCCGGTAGGACCACTGAGTCCAGGTATAGGGACCTCCAGCCCCAGCTGCAGTTAGGGAGCTCTGGCTCCGGCCCCAGTAGCGGACAGCCTGTGGCAGACAGAGAGCTCCAGCCCCAGCCCTGCAGCTCTGGCCCCGGAAGCAGCAGGGCCAGCGGGAGCTAGAGAGCTCCGGCCCAGGGGGTGATCAGGCAACAGTGAAGCGGGCTAAGCCCTAGCAGCTTAGCATGGGCCAGGAGGGGAGAGACCTCCTCTGGTCCGGCAAATCCTCTCATTCGGGACAGGTCAGGTCCCGAGGGTGCCGGATCAGGGAGGTCCATCCTGTAGTTACTGGGAGCAGCCACGAGAAGAGACAAAGCTACAAGTACCAGGACTATGTCATCCACACACACACAAGTGGGCATGCAGGGTCTATTTTAAATTCTTGAGTTGGAGTCCGCCAGGACTGGTACGCACACAGGAAAATGTGAGCATCACATCACTACCCAAGTTGAAGGAAGGTTGAGAACTTTTGTCTTGTTTTGTCTGAGAATTTGCTAGGACCTCAGCGCCTCGCCTCACCTCCTGTCGGGTTGCACCCTGGAGGAGGGCAGGGTGGTGTCCTAATTCCAAGATGGAGAAACATTGCTTTAGATCACCACCTTTTCGACCAAGAGGCAATGGAAGTGGGGGCATTGTCAAGCCCATTTAAATTGTACCTATACACAGCAGCATGTGTGTTGTTCTTTCCTGCTGCAGCAATGGTTACATGCCCGTTTCCACGGAACGCCCGCAGGGGACAGGTGGGTAGAAAAATGTTCTACGTCCCGACTGAGATAACAACGAACCCTCTCTTGAGCGTCAAGTTCTCCCCCTCAGGGATTGGTGAGGAAGAGGCAGTTGACTTGACACTGAATAAATAGTGTAGCTATGAAATACCCTGAGAGGCGTTTTGAGCCTATTCCAAGAGGTTTCTCCTCTCGGGGGTCTCCACTGGAAACATGCATCAGCTTGATATGTTACATCAAATGGACAAAGCTCAGCATGCCTGTCTCGCTGTTTTAAAAATACAATCCAGGCGGTTTTGACCTGCTGGCCTTGTTAAGGACATGAATGACAAGTGTTTATGAGCTGGCAGGCTAACAGACATGCCTTTAAATACTTCACAGTGCACTACAAAGTGACTTCTTTAAAATCTGGGAAACCTTCCACTTAATTTACTGTGTGCTGCTCATTGCGTGACCTTCTTATGGAAGTTACGTCTTTATAATGAACACGATCATCGAATTCCACAAGCTACTGGGATAAATTCCTTCAGGCTGCAGCGACTCAAGCTGTGTTTCTCTAGCTGTGTACCCACAAGCAATGGATTGATGCAGAATGTTCTGAACTCTCAAGCAGTGTCCCTGACTGAGCTAGAAGATTTCATAAGGCGACAGGATGAATTCCTCAAGGTCTCATCACGTATTTAACCCCTTTAATCATCCAATCTGCTAAAACTGAGGCAAGCTACAGCAGAAGTATGAAATATCCTGTGAGGTCTGCTGAGCATATTTCAAGAGGCTTCTCCTTTCCTTTTCACAATGTAAAAGATCTCACAGTAGAAAGCATGTTGGAAAAACACTAAGCATTTATTTGCCTGAGGCTGTAAGTCATCCACAAATCTGCACCACATTCACTTTCAAATAGGCAACAAAACAGCGTTGGAAAAAAGAGATTCCAGTCTGTGATCAGAGGCTCTGTAGTGGTGCCACCGCTGGTACATTTCTACCACTTCATGAACAAGTCCATTCCTCTACTCAACTCCTCTGACCTTTGAGAATAGTTTTTTAGTACACGGATTTTACAAAGACTCTACAGAAACCATTTGCAACTAGTGAATGTCCATATTACATCAGAAGGCCGGATACATCTTTAGTTTATTAACAAACCCCCGACCAAACCTCATAAGATTTTATAAAGAAATGGGACAAAAGTCAAGAGACAACTCCATCGACAAACGTTGCAAGAATCCTGGTTCCCAAGAAGCGGCCTTGGCCTTTGTGCCATATCAGCTCAATCACCAGAGAATTCAAAGACTTGCTTGGGAAAGCTTCCTGATTGGCCACATGATCTTGACCCTGGTTGGATGGTAGCCAAATATAAACTTCTGGCTTCCTTTCTGGCCTTGTCTGAGCAACAACCTTTTGCCTGGTATTTGCTTCTATTTGCACCCTTTTGTTTTGTCAGAGTTTGCCATGGCCTCACAGCTCCTCTCTGAGACCCATCTTGACTTTGCCTTGCTGCCTCCTCAGATCCTGCCTTACTACCTCACCAGACCCTGCTAGCTGCATCTGTGTCTTCTCCATGAATTGGACCTGCTAGCTATTGGACCACTTGCTACTTATCTGGACTGCATTTTGGCCTGCCTGACCCAGAGTGTTACACATTGCATTACAGGCCTCTTAAGTTACGTCTAGACTGTGTTGCTCTTTTGGCTACCAGAAGTAGCCTGAAATAGCAACCCCATGTCTTTAAAAGTGCCCACTATTTCAGGAAATAGAGGGCACGCCATTCCGGAGACCCTGTAACCCTCGTTCCATGAGGGTTAAGGGATTTGTCAGAATAGTGCCTTATTTTGAAATTTGTAGACAGCACCAAATTTCAAAATAAGCTCTTTCAATTTAGACTCAGAATAAGCTACGCAATTTGCATAGCACAAATTGTGTAGCTTATTCTGACAGAAAGGTGCTGTCTAGGTGCATCCTTAGAAGAAGCAAATCAGCCTATTTTTCTACAGATACTATCCCAGCTCCTGAAGAGTAGAAACTTTCACCTTCTGTAACTACTCTCTATTCGGAGTCATTAAAAATGGGTTGAGCAAGACTTTATCCAAATAATTCCAAGCGCTTGGCATTAAAAAGGAAATTTTTTTCTCCCCCACAGTGAAGACTGTCTTGGATTTAGCTTTGAGAACATATTTTTTCATTGGAGACCAGACTTTGACATGCACTTTATTCCATTTTTTCCCCTTTGGAGCCAAAAGAACAAAATAATGTATGTGAAAATTGGTTTATAAAATGATATCACCATTGTGATATTGTGGGTTTTCCCCCACAACTTCAGTTTCAAATGTTAAGGATTTAATTGCTTTCCAGCCAAGAAAGGTTTATGGATATAAAATGTGCTCAGACTGACACAATATGAAATTGTCTTTCTTGAGTCAATATGGCCTATACGATTGCAAAAGCTTGTCTTGAAAAAGAACTTCAAAAACCAATTGGCTGGCACTGAATAATCTAGAGCCCAAAACTCTGGAGGAATGTATTAAAGGAAAAATAAATCTCTCACTTTCGGATAATGTAAAAAAATACAGATTTGTCATGAAGCTGTTTAGTTGACTTTTGCTCTGATGAATCCCTCATGTAGCTCAAATTACATTCATTTAACCAAAGAAAGAGGCAATCACTCTTCTAATTGGGAAATGGATTGGTGACAAAAGACTACACACAAGTAGTTTATGAGCTTTGCCCATCTGAAACAGGCAAGAGTTTCAGGAAGCCACAGTGACAACAGTACCGTACACAAACGAGCCTTTCTACAATGTAGCGGATCTAGAAGCAGGTTTCCCCATAAAAATAAAAAGAATGGATAATCCGAAATGATGATGTAGAAAGAACTACAGGTTGAACCTCCTAAATCCGGGACGCTCTGGTCCAGCAACATCTGTGCTCCGGCAGGATCACAGATGTTGCTGGACCAGAAAGCCCCGGTGCTCGGGAGTGAGAGTCAGTTGGGAGTCCAATGGCGGGAGAGCCCCACCATCAGGACTGGTGAGCACCGGCCTTGGGTGCCTCATCTGGGTGTGGCACCTGCTAGGCAGCCACAGAGCTCCAACCCTGGCGGGCAGCCACAGGGCCCCCTCCCCGGCAAGCCCCGGCTGGGCGAGACAGAAGCAGGGCCGTGGTGTCTGGGGAGCTCAGTCCCCCAACAGCCTCAGCCAGATGACAGAAGTAGGCCAGAGCTAAGCCCCAAGCCCTGTAGCAGCAGGGCTGGAGCGGAGCCAGCAAGAGGGAGGGGCAGTGACCTGGGAGGCCGGTGGCGGGGAATGTCCCCTGATCCAGCAAATTCCCTCATTCGGGACCGGTCAGGGCCCGAGGGTGCTGGGCCAGGGAAGTCCAACCTGTTTAAGACATTCCAAAATCCCTAAAACTTTGCTTCTTCCATTGGGGAATGGGAAAAAAAGATGAAAAGATTTGGAAGAAAACAGTTTCAAGCACCAGCGAATGTAGATAGCGTCCCAATAACATGCTCTTCTGGAACTTGGGAATATTATCTCTGGTGTTGGATATTACCTGACTACAACTGAACAACACTTAATCCCTGTGAAAAAAACACCCACTGTCCCTGTAACACAGCTGGGATCCTGAAGTTCTAGGAGTGTAAACACAGTTGTTAGATCATTATTTTCCCAGTTACTTGATACCGCAATAAAAACAAAACAAAACAAAACAAAGTAAGTTGTGCGAAACAAGGGCCGATAAAAAGCATCCTAGTGCCCCGGGGCTGGACCTGCCCTGTAACACAACCATTCTGGAGTTATGCCCGTACAGCCACACGTGCAATGGCCAAAGGGAAATGAACTTTTTATCATTGATGATGAGTCTCACAGGTATTATGTCAACACTCACACTCCAGTCGCGTTGGGAATGTTAACGATGGCCATGAAACATATTCTGACCAACTTGGCTAGGGGCCTCACTGGAGAGCACGAGATGATGAAGCAAACTACCACGTGCCCTTCGCAGGCCAGGAATTAGTTTGACGATTACCGGGAAAGTACTGACAACCAAAATGGAGGCTTGAATCTCTTGTAGACGCCTGCGCCAGCAAATGAAGATCCGCCACCCTTCAGTCAGTCTCTTCTCCTTTCCCAGCCCTGAAAACCTGGGCATTGTTGGGCTGCTTTTATAAGGCATTTCAATCATAGCAGATTTTATCTGAGAGCAAAGTCAGAGCTTGCCAAGTAAAAAAATCAGTACAAGACTCCTCGCCCTCCCCCAGCATAACAGCCATGTCATAGATCATAGGATCATAGAATCATAGGACTGGAAGGGACCTCGAGAGGTCATCGAGTCCAGCCCCCTGCCCTCAAGGCAGGATCAAGCTCCGTCTACACCATCCCTGACAGATGTCTATCTAACCTGTTCTTAAATATCTCCAGAGAGGGAGATTCCACCACCTCCCTTGGCAATTTATTCCAATATTTGACCACCCTGACAGTTAGGAATTTTTTCCTAATGTCCAATCTAAACCTCCCCTGCTGCACTTTAAGCCCATTACTCCTTGTCCTGTCCTCAGAAACCAAGAGGAACAAATTTTCTCCTTCCTCCTTGTGACACCCTTTTAGATATTTGAAAGCCGCTATCATGTCCCCCCTTAATCTTCTTTTTTCCAAACTAAACAAGCCCAGTTCATGAAGCCTGGCTTCATAGGTCATGTTCTCTAAACCTTTAATCATTCTTGTCGCTCTTCTCTGTACCCTTTCCAATTTCTCCACATCTTTCTTGAAATGTGGCGCCCAGAACTGGACACAGTACTCCAGCTGAGGCCTAACTAGTGCAGAGTAGAGCGGCAGAATGACTTCACGAGTTTTGCTTACAACACACCTGTTAATACAACCTAGAATCATATTTGCTTTTTTTGCAACAGCATCACACTGTTGACTCATATTCAACTTGTGGTCCACTATGACCCCTAGATCCCTTTCTGCCATGCTCCTTCCTAGACAGTCGCTTCCCATCTTGTATGTATGGAACTGATTGTTCCTTCCTAAGTGGAGCACTTTGCATTTCTCTCTATTAAACCTCATCCTGTTTACCTCCGACCATTTCTCTAACTTGCTAAGGTCATTCTGAATTATGTCCCTATCCTCCAAAGAAGTCGCAACCCCACCCAGTTTGGTATCATCTGCAAACTTAATAAGCGTACTCTCTATCCCAATATCTGCATCATTGATGAAGATATTGAACAGTATGGGTCCCAAAACAGACCCTTGAGGAACTCCACTTGTTATCCCTTTCCAGCAGGATTTAGAACCGTTAACAACCACTCTCTGACTACGGTTATCCAGCCAATTATGCATAATTATGCAATTATGTCAGTTTGTGTTTGCTCCATCCCTGGCAAATGCTGCATGCACAGATACACATTTTCGTATTAGAAGATGGCAGGTTCAGAAACTGGTGCACACAAATCGGCAGGGTTAATTTCAGAAGTTGGCCTGAGGCCTGTCTGAAATGTGGCCGTATGGGCCAGGCCATACCCTGCTACCAATCTGGATATGAAGCCCGACAATTATCAGTACAGATCTGCCACAATTTCATTGCCATTGTCGGATATGTTGGAAATCAATACAAGATCATCAAACCTCTTCTTTGATGTCCCCAATCCAAAATGAATCTCATTCACAGCCCATCTCTCAGGGCACGAGCCACTTAGCAATGAAGGTGTGAGTAAGCAGACACCCTGCACTACCTTTTAATCTAGCCAGTGCACGTAACAAGGACTCGTGAAGACATGGCAGACGGACTTCAGTGCAGGCTAGCAACCCCATATGAACCCGGAGGGCTTGCTCTGGAGTTGTTTCAGATTATTTTAATTCGGTAATTAGTGGTTCTGTTCTTCATTCACTGCTAATGTTGCAATGCTATTGTTATTTTGCTATTGAATTCTAAGGGCCAGGAGGGGTTTTATTGGACACGTCAATTCTTTCCGATGTCTGTTCTCCTTGAAAGCTGCAGCCTCGAGAGTGTTTATTCCTACATCATAGCACATGGCCCAGCCTAATTCCTATCAATTCATGCGTAAAACAAGAGGGCAATATTTCTAGTATAAAAATGGAATATCTTCATGGCCTCATTGGATTTTTTTGGTCACACTTTATATTAAGGAACCATTTATAAATAATTTATACCATGTCTGATAAGCGATTAACAGACATTTTAGGACAAGGCGAAGTTCATCGCTCTATCTTGTTAGACTCCTCTAGGTTTACAGGGTGCTTATAACCCTCTGTAACGTGCTACTCATGCCTGTGACACGCCTGCACGTCTATTAATAATTTATTAACCATTTACAAACTCTTTATAAATGCAGTAGTTTGTGTTTATGGGATCCTACTAGCTAGTGTCAGAAGAGTCTCAAGGATCTAGTGATCCAGCACATCCTCCAACACACAACTCCTTGCCAGATGGCTTATCAGATATTAATTTCAAAAGACACTTGATTGGAGCGGTTGAAGTCCTCCTCCCAGGTCACTGAGCTGCTTCTCCTGGGTGGCCGTGATTGCAGATTGGAAAGATACACACAATACAGCTGGGTTTATAACACCTACTGCAATAATTCATGGGTAGGGAAAACACTGCTCAGCGCTCTCAGCTCTTCTGCATGCCTAATCATACAGACTGGTCACGGATCTGCTAGTCACTGAGCATTCTGGCCTCCATCCAGCAAAGCACGGAGGCATGTGCTTAACTTTAAGTATTTTACTGACTCAGGGCAAGAGAACTCGGTATCTGTCTGGATCAAGAGATTTTAGGGAGAGCTCTGATTTCCCCCTCAGACCATATCTTACCTTGGACCATTCTGATGCCTCCCATATCGAAAGGCAGTCCTGGCCTTCACAGCTTTGTATTGGTGTGGGTTTGTTGCCAAGGCAGTAGAAGTCTCTGGTGTTAACATAGGTGCCATTCTGCAGCTGGTAAACACAAGTCACTTCCCGGTGCTGGATGCCTTTCTCACAGGTGGCAGAGCAAGAACTCCAAGGGCCTGCCACCCACCTGTCAAGAAAACCAAGAAGAAACATCAAAAAGACCTGGTGGAATCCTGCACTGTGCTTATCCCTTGGGAACAGGAGCAGTCTGAGGCCGGCTGCAGCAGCTGGCACCCTAGGTGGGGCGGCACAATCCGCGCCCCTGCCTGCACGGCCGTCAATGGTTGTGATGTCACCACAGAGCACCCCGTGGTGTCATCACCGGGCGCCCAGGCCAGCGGCACCCTAGGCAGCTGCCTAGCTCACCTAGGCTCACGGGCCATCCCTACTTGGGAACGCTGACTACGGGCCTCCTGTTCTGGGCCTGTGAATGTGGCAGTGGCTTCTGTGAACTAGCTGCATCATAACCATGGACCTTCTTGGGTTGAATTGGGTGGGGACTGGAAAGTGCCTTGCAGGATAGTGATTCTAATTCACTCAGGATTGCTTTGTAGAGAATACGAAACTTGTGCGCAAAAACCCCTCTCCTCTGGTCAGGGCTGCCTTGCACATAATGCTTCTTTAGAACAGCACACAAGCAAACTGTTGGTGTAACGGCAGGCCCGTATGCAGGAATTTCTGTGTGTGTGTGTGTGTGTGTGTGTGTACAGCAATTTAAAAAATAACGGAGTTCAAAATAGTCATGCAATGAGAGATTAATGACACATTTAAGTGGAAACAGTGATTGGTAAAAAGAGTTCGTTATAATGTACTAAAAATGTATGCAGTAATAAAGGTTTTATAGAAATTACCTTCTGGGATTATGGCGGACAGCACCATGCCCCCCTCCACTCCCTCGGCCACCTCTGCCTGCTGCTGCTCTACCTGCTCGGTGAGGCCAGTGCCGGGTGAGTGTGGGCTGGGCTTCTGGTCAGCGGGGTCGGGCATAGGCTCGCTCCTCGCGGGTAAGGAGCACCATTCCCTCGGCCCTGCCTTGGTGCCCCCATCCTCGCCTGCCCATCCCCCCACAACACAGCACTCTCCCATCCCCCTCACACAGAGGTTCCCAAACTTTCTGGCCTGTGGCCCACCTGGCTCAATGCAAACCTTTCCGTGGACCACCAGTTGCTAATGGAAACTCGGCATTATTTACATTACGATACCTGAGCCGTTTTGCTAGCGCTGCAGCTAGGGAGAGCAGTTTAATTTAACCAGTAAGAGAGGAAGTATTAAATTATTAAACACATTAAGAGCTTTAACTTTTTCATGTTAGTTTTTCAAACTTCATTTTAAATAAAGTAAAATATTACTTCACGTCCAACACAAAGGTTCCCATGTTTTCTTTATTTATGGCAGGGCAGGGGAACCTTTTTTGGGTTGGGGACCACTGACCCACAGAAAAATCAGTTGGGGACCACACACGTGAGAAGCAAAGAAATCCTCCGAAACTCCCAACCCTCACGGATGTGGCCCCCGAGACACCTCACTCCTCTGGTGCTACAGCCCCATGGGGCAAGAAGGAGGGACAGGTAGGACTGAGGTTCAGGGATTCCCATGGGCTGGATTTACTCTTTTGGGGGTTTGAGGTTCGTGGATTTTGTGGACTGTCCAGGTTCTGGGGTGGGGACAAAAATGAGGGGTTCAATGTGTGAGACAGGGCTGCCAGTGAGTGGAATAGGGATAGGGGTGCAGGATCTGGTCAGGTGTGTGTGTGTGTGTGTGTGTGTGTGTGTGTGTGTGTGTGTGTGTGTGTGTGTGTGTGCGCGTGCAGGAGGGGGTGAGGGTATGAGATCTGGGTGGGAAGATCGGATGCAGGAGCAGGCAGGGAGTAGGATGTCTGGCCAGAGGGGAGGGGGCAAGAGCAAGGGAAGGTGCAGTGTGTGGGGCCAAGAGGAAGGGTGCAGGAACAAGGGTGGGTTCAAGAGCAAGGTGGGGGTAGGGTGTCTGGCAAGGGGGGAGGGTGCAGGAACAGGCTGGGGATGGGGTGTCTGGCCAAGAAGGAGGGTGCAGGAGCAGACTGGGGGAAGGGTGTGTGGCCAAAAGGGAGAGTGCAGGAATAGGCAGGGGATGGGATTTCAGGCCGGGGCGGGAGGAGGGTGCAGGAATGGACTGGAGGTGCAGGATTTCGGCGGGAGTGCGGTGCAGGAGCACAGTAGGGGTGGGGGGCCTGGGCATGAAGGGGCAGGGTGCTCTTACTTGCTTTTGTGCCCCATGCCTCTCCCAGGCATCATGTCTCAGGCACAGCATCCTGCTGCTCCCATTGGCTGGATTCTGGCCAATAGGAGCAGCCGGGAAATCCTCCAGGAAGCATATCAAGTGCACTGTTGTTTTGCCAGCTGGGGAAGGGAGAGGAGGAGCAGCAGTGTGCAGAATCCTTCTGGCAATGCTTCTTCCCCAGGACGCGGATCTGGCAGGGAGGAGTGGGTATCCTCCTCCTTCCCCCAGGGGGAAGCCAGCACTGGTCCTCCAACCTCCCTCTCCCCTGCACTAGCTGGAGAGCTAGCTGGAGAGCTAGAGAGCTTCCCTGCGCTAGCTGGAGACCACAGTTTGAGAACCACCGCCCTAACAGAGCTCCTTCTGCTTATTTGAGGACTATGGGGGAGAGGGGATGCGTTCACATCCCTCCTGCATGCAGGCCTCAACTGTGTCATTTTGAGCTCATCTTTTCACGTGTGAAGTAAATATGTTGCTCTCCATCACTCTGTGGCTGGCTGGTGGTTTAACAAGGGCACTCTTTGTGTTTTGAAATTCAAGGCATATGTGGGCCTTAAAAATGATGGCTAACAAACAAGATTCCTCTGATTGGCAAATCCAACCTTAAACAACCATCCAAGAGACAAGCAGCCTTTAAAAATACAAGGTGACATTGATAAAAGAGCTCTCATGAGAGCGATTTAAAGCACCTGTCTGTGGTTTGAATGTTCCAGTTTGGACGAGTTTGCTCCCTTATGCCCTTTCATTTTCTGTCTGGGAAGAATCCGGTTTAGAAGGTGAGCAGAAAGGATGCTTTATACAATACACACAAAGCATCCATCTTACAGCTTCCTGCAATCTGTCATTGAGGAAGATGTTCTCTGTAATTACAGTAATTCCTGGACAAAGTGAAAGACTGGAACTGTAGCTCTGTGTGTGAGCACAGGAAAGCAATCATCTTTGCTCCTCTGGGAAGTTAGCCTTCCAGGCTATTATTTAGGACTGTCATCTAGATTAACATCCTTAATCAAATAAATCTTTCCCTTGTCACGTGAACCTGAGTTACTGAACACTGGGCTCATCTGTTGTGGCTCACATAGGTAAGAAACTTTCTCGGAGGCAAAAAATCTGTTTGGCAGAAAGGCCAAGAGTGGAAGCACAGATGCCTAGTTAAGAGTAAGACTTGAAAACAGGCTGTCTAAGGATTTGTGTCTCCAAAAGGAATCAACACTGCAAAAAATTCAAATGTTACTGTTCGGGGGAGACAGCCCATAAAACATAAAAAATATAATTGTCATGTGTAATCTATTATATATTTTGATGAGTTTGTTTGTTTGTGGATTTGTTTGTGAAAAATAAAGTCATACATCACAATTAGCTGCAGATACCAAATTTTTGCATACATAATCCTGCCATTTAAATTAGCTGAATGCACAACTTTTTAAACCGCAATATGCTGGGTGAAAGGCTTAAACAATTATTTTTGGTTTTCATCAGAAAAAAGTCAAGACCATTATGATTAGAGTTCATAAAAAATATTTGCTAACAAAATTAAAATCGGGTTGCCTATTCAACTGTCATTTTAGGGCAAAGAACATTTTTACTGTTACAAATCACAAAACCATTCAAATTAGACACGGAAAGAGTAATGGGAGCTTTGCGAGTTTCTGATTCAAATTTACTATGTATGGTAATTACTCAATAAAACGAATAATGTTTGAAGTAGAAATCCTACAAATTTAAAACTGTTCTTTTACTTCCCTTTTGCAAGGCCATTAATAAAATGTTCTATGACATCTATTTAATTGCTTGAACCTTCCTGTAAGTGTAATTGACGTAAAATGACTTTATCCGGTCAACGCATGGGCCTCACCTGCTAGTTCTCATTAATTCATCTGCAGGCTGTTGTTAGGGATGTAAAAATGCATTTAAAAATATAACTGTGTAACCGCTAACAATTACAGCTGTATACTGCAGAGCCTATAAAGCCTCCGGCTACTGGTCCCACGCCAGGGAGGAGGCTTTGCTGCTGTGCCTGCTCCCAGGGAAGCATCGCTGTGGGCTGTAACCTGCCAGCCTGCGGCAGGGTGGGGAGTGGGGGTGGTCAGGCAGGGGCTGTTCCCGAGGGCCCTGTGGTGCTGAAGCAGGCCCCTGCCTGGGGTGGGTGTGGAGCGGGTTAACTAGCTTCGCCCATTAAGAGTGAGGCTTACCCGTTAACCTTTTGCACCCCTATCCATTACCATTGCTAACATAGGTCTATAGTGCTGACGATCACGTCTGCAGTGAAGGCAGAAGCCAGCTGGGGGGAGAACAGGATGGGCAACATGGTCACAGCTTTGCCAGTTGTCCTGTGCACAACAGGGACATACATTTTTGTGTGTTAAGGCGGCTGACACCTTCATTCACTTTGGTGACCACCACAGTATTCCCGGGGGCAATGCCGTGCTAAGTCACGAAACATTTTGCACACAGTATTTTAAAATCCTGCAAAATTCTTCAAGCTCCATTTGTCAGTAAACTCATTCAGAGGCGCCACCAGGGCAGTGGGGAGTGCAGGCTGCCCACATGTGGGAGATCACCCTGCAGCCTGCCCACCTCCTGACCCCAGGACATGGGCTCAGTGGTGAGACAGCACCAGACCCTGACACAGGACAAGGCTCAGGCCTGCTCTGGGGCTTTGCCCCTCGCTGGCAGGGGCACCGGGTGGGGGGCAGGCAGGATCCAAGTGTGGAGAGGCTCAGTGTGCGTGGGGGATTACCCAGGCGTGTGGTGAGTGGATTCTGTGTGGGACAATTTGAGTGCAGGCAGCTTGGGAAGGGAGTTAAGTGTGGGGGAATCTGGGTGCTTGAAGGGGCTTGAAGGGTGGGTACAGCTGAGTACAGCTAGTTGGGGAAC